ATTGTTAATCTCATATCATATCAGTCGCGACTGTCATTACAATTAATCAATAATTCAAAAAGTATTTTAGTCATCAAATTGTGGCAAAACACTTGAGATTAGTTTTATTATGGAGTGAAATACTATAGGAATTAAGTTACGAACAAATTATGAATTTAGAGAATTGTGTTCATAAACTTGCGCTCAACTTATTCCTCATTTTATACTTTTATGTTTATGTTAAAAATGTGTGAATATTATAGATTGACTCAATCGCACAAATGCAGCACAAATTGTTTTGATTTACTTATAAGTTATAACTTATAACTAAAGCATATCAACATAATATACACTCAAATATGCACTCATATACTGTATGCACTTATACTGGTATTTCCCTGGGAATTGTCCCATACATAGTGCACACCTTTGCAATAGTAGTGATTATTGTATTAATTAATTTATTAATATGTGATATAAATATAATTTATTAGATGTTATTGACAATATGATAAAATTGTATGCTGGAAATGCTCATGGACATAGACAATCAAACTAATTTAAATATTCTCAATTTAGAATAAAATATATTAATTTTTTAAATGCTATAATAATTACTGTCACTGCAATGGGTAATACTGTAGCACTAATACAGAATGTCAATTACATAGATATTTGTTTTATGACTTAATATTTACTCATAAAATACAATTGATTTCAATTGATTGTAAATTTTCTAATAGTTTAAACATGTTAAGTTACGATTTTCAAGTAAATCCATGCTTTTTCTGCTTTAGAACCAAATGTTTAGTTATATGCATTTATTTGCAAATTAAAGTTTGTCAAAATATTAATTATTATGTAATTCGTTTGCTCGCAAAGATATACTGTATATCATATACAACTAACATGTACAAATATGCATTTGTATGAAATGAGATGCTTTACTTATAACTTATGTTGTATCTATATTGTATTGATAGAATTATTAAATTTTATTTTTGGGTATATTAATGTTAATGACTCTACGCTAACTTAATTCATGTGATAAGTTTGATAAGTTAAATTGATTTGTAGAATGGGAACAATTAGTTAACCATTCAAATACTTAATATCGCAGTATTTAATACGATATAAATGATAACAATTTAAGCTATTTTACCGTCGTATCTAAACTATACATAAATTATTACATTTTCATAATTTCTATAACTCTTATTACATTTGAAAAAATAACATTTGTATTATAATAAAAAGCTAAATAGAAATATGGTTTCAACTAAAGTAATACCTATTTTGAAAACATAAGTTAAAGGATGGATACCATAGTATGTTAGAGAAGTTGATATGACGTGAGATAATAGTTTTATAACACATATCTAATGCTTGTTTTACTGCAAAACATTTTTTCTAAATTTGAGATTTTATTACTTTTTAAGACATTAAACGGAGAATACAGTCGTTTCTTATTATTAATAATTAATTTTATTTATTTGCATATTTAGTGAAGTGCTTAGTGTTTGGCCTAATTATAAATAAATGTATAAAACATATGGATATTTACTGGAATTTAAAGGAAATAAACTTACGAAATGCTATTACTATAAAGTTTATTTTTACACTACAGTACCGGTTAATATGACCGCCAAATATTAAAGTCTAGCTAACAATCATTTAATTCTTTAATTCTAAATATAAGTTGCATAGTATGTTAATTTTTAATTCTCTATATAATGTAATAAATCTATTATCACTATATTTTGCTTTCTAATTGTAATATTGCTTACAATTGTATTAATTACACCATTTCTTATAGATTTGATCAAATTATAATTTATAGATTTAACATTAATTGTTTACAAATGAATTTTGTAAGTGTTAGGCATTTATAGCATATAAAATATGTTTTGAAATTTGTTATCAAAATACGCGAAACAAATGTGAATATTATTTTTAAAAACATTCATATATTACAGGAAACGGAAGAGAAGTTTCGGCCAAAAGTATCATAGAATCAGTGAAAACAGTGATTCTTAATAACGAAGAAATCCAATTATTGACAGATATTTTGTTAAATAAACAAAGCGATGGTTCGACTGAATGGCGAAAGGTTTGAGTTTTTGCTTATTTATTGAGCGAATGATAAGAATTAACAAAAAATAATGGATTTGCAGAAAAACGATCCGTTGGCTGTTCTTAAGAAACAGCTTCAGGAGAAAGAGGTGGCACTCGAGAAGACACTGAAGAACTTGTCGACAGCCGTTCAAAAGACACGCGAATTGCGGAACGAATTAGAAGTGGAAAAGTCGTCGCAATTGAATAGTCGAGAGAAGAGCCAACAAATGCAACACGAAATACAAGCGCTTCATCTGAAACTACAACAGAGTTACGAAAGTCAGAGGAATGAAATGAATGCAATGCAGAAACAGTTGCAACAAATTCAGGTCAAACTCAGCGACGAACGAAGTCACGCCATTCGACTCCAAGAAGACAACTCTCGACTCCAGCAACTCATGAAGAGTGACCAACACGTGAAGCACGAAGTGGATCAGCTCAGGACTGAACGCACACAGTATGAGATGCGAATGTCTGCCTCTCAGAAGAGTAACGAAGAACTTCTTCGAAAGACACAACAATTGGAAAACAGAATCAAATCAATGAGTGATTCGCGACAAAAAGATGAAACCACTTATCAAATGCACATTAAAGATGTCTCACAAGAGTTACAGAAATGCGAGACTCAGAGGAATGTTTTGGTGGAGGAGTTGAGCCATAAGACGAATAAATGCAATGCAATTGAATCGGAAAATATTCAATTTATTCAGAGATTCAAAGAGTTGGAAGAGACGAAGAACTCAGAAATTAAAGTTTTAATCGACG